TATGACAGCTTCAGAGGACCCTGCCTGAGGCTGCTGGACCTCACACAGCAGTCCCAGATCCCGTGGGGCAGAGCACCTCCTCCTCCTGACAGCAAGCATACATGCTGACCGACCGGCTGAGCCAGCCTGCCGGCCTCACGCTCCTTGTGTCTGGGCTGGTTGCACCGGGAGCACGTGACAGACTCCTGCATGCCCAGCAGCAGTCGCTAGAGGGCGACTGGAGAGTGGCCTGGAGCAGAGCCCTGGAGACCACAGAGGAGGGCCTGGAGGTGCTGAGATGACTAGAGAGGCAGACTTGAGAAGGTAACCAGGCTGTGGCTAAAGGCTGCAGTGGCTCAGAGTGAGGCCCTGGCAGCAAGGCTCCGAGTTGTCACTTGCTGCTGGGCTCCCACACAGCTCAGAGCAATAAGCTTTTGGTTGGAGGCCAGACGCATTGAGTCTCTGACATCTGAGGCCTAGAGCTCCAAGCATCTGCCATTGAAAGGTTCAGGACTGGAGGGAGCTGCCATTTGCTTATGGTAACACAGCCAAAGAACGCTCAGCAAGCAGGATGGCTCCCTCTGCTAGGTGTCTCCTCTTGACCCTGTCTGTGTCTACGCTTACAAACGTGTCTTGTTCTCTCCTCTACCTGTCCCTGCAGAAGTTTTGTGCCGTCTTCTCTCTGTAGGAAGCCTGGGCTGACTTTATCTTCTGCCTGTTCTTCAGTCTCACAGAAGGCTTCTCAGCCAGGGCACTGATGACAGCCCAGTGCACAGATGGCTAGTGGCTCTACAGCTGCTGCTCCAGGATGGCCTGGGATTCACTGCGGCTGGGGCCGCTTCTGCCCGGGAGAGGCACACAGCCAATTGGTCTCTGCTTTGATCTTCCCACTAACTTAATTAGCCTTCATTGGATTTTGTCTAATTTAGAAACAACATCCAATGTATCCAGGTTACTCGACTCTGTTTTCAGTGTTTCTGGCACACAAACAAACTAACACAGTGTCAGTTATGGATCGAAACCGATTAACAGGGGCCAGTGAACATCTTACAGGTTAAGAGTTATCCTGTTCTGGCATTTATCCTTAGTAACGGCTCTGTATGACCTTCCTGTGTTATCATCTGGGCTAGACGTGTTTCCCTGGGTTGTTAATAATGAAGTGTCTAGAATTAAATCAACAGCCCACGGAAGGAATATGTGCCTTGCTCCCTCCACATCTTTGCAATGATCTTTAAAAATTAGGTTACGCTGATAGGATTCATTTTTCCATGCAGCTGTCATTCATTTTTATCCAATGCTTAGATTTCCTTGCGAATTAATATTCTGGTGATATACATTTTCATATATCCCTCCCTCACACCATGACCATCTAATTAACTGAGAATTCTCTACCCAGGTTCATCTAGCCTAACTTTGGGTGGCAATATGTAACATCATTAATCATGTTCAGAGTTAAGGAGATAGGAGTTCATTGCTTGTGACAGATGGCAAAGGTTAAGTCTGAAGCATTAAATAGAAATATATCTAAGGACATTAGCAAATACAGGACAGTCTACATGAACAGAAGAGGGTTCGTTTTCCAAAGGCCGTCTAAGCTAGAGCGGCCTCTGGGCTCTCAACGATTATCATCTCTCCTTCAGACTTAAGGAAAGAAAGGGTTGTTTTCTTTTGGATTTTCTTTTGGTTCTGTCTTGTTTTCAAGACAGGGTCTTGCTATGTAGTCCAGGATGGCCTTAAATTCATGGTCCTCCTGTCCCAGCCTCCCAAGTGTGGGGTTTACAGGCATGCATCATGTCCACTGAGGAAAGAGATTTCTAAAGGGAAGTGTTTTTTGCTACCTCTTCTTACACACATTTCTAACACCAAATGTGTTAGAATACACAGTTCTTAAGTGGACAACTGAATGCCTTATATTACTCAATTCTGACACTTTCTGGAGAAGATTCAGGAGTGAGTCCCAAGAGAATTCTCATTTCAGATCCCAACTGCACACACATGAGCTGCGCTTCTGACCAATCCATTATACAAAAGGAGTTCCTGTGAGCCTCTCCTCTGCTTCACTGGATTGGCTGCACAGCACACAAAACCCAGAGCAACATTTTACTTAACAAGGTATAGCACAAGTATGTAGAAGAGGCTCAAGGCCTCTTGGTCTCTCTGGGGGTGCTACCTCCAGGCACCCCATGCGGTGAGCAGTAAGGCAGCTCTCTGATTCCTATCTTTTTCGGTTTTATGGAGACTTTATTACAGAGGCATGATGGATTCTATTTTTGATCATCAGTAATTAGCGCCCCTTTCTGCCCCTCTCCCTGCCTTGATGGAGGTACAGGATAACACCCTCTAATCACATGGCAGCTACCCTGGCAACAAGATGCCATCCTGAGGTTGTACAGGCAAACATCTGTTATGTCAGAACAAAAGATGCTCCCTTAGCCAGACACTCCAGTTCAGGAGGTCATCAATATTACTTTCAGGAAATATATATTAATTATATAAATTAATATAATTTAATATATAAATATAATACATAATTAGACTATATAAATATAATTAAATATAAATTAATTATATAAGTTAATATACTTTCAGGTATATTAAGAGTTCTGCATCAAGGACTGGGAATGTGGCTTAGTGGTGCATGAAGCCCTGGGTTCGATTCCTCAGTACCACATAAAGAGAAAAGGCCAGAAGTGGCACTGTGGCTCAAGTGGTAGAGTGCTAGCCTTGAACAAAAGAGTTCTGTTTCAGGAATTAGAGTCAAAGATTAAATATAGAATCAAAGAATCTAGAAACTCAAGTTGGCTTTCAACTTGCTATGCAGTCCAGGATGGTGTCAAACTCAAGATCACCCTAAGCACTGGGAATACAGGCATGTACTACCACATCTGGCCTTGATTTCTGTATGTTTCTTTTGTTTCCTGATACTTTCCTAAATTCATTTTATTTATTTTTTGGTCGGTTGTGGGGCTTGAACTCTGGGCCTGGGTGCTGTCACAGCTCTTCAGCTCAAGGCAAGTACTCTACCGTTTGAGCCACAGCACCACTTCCGGTTTTCTGGTGGTTTATTGGAGATAAGAGTCTCATGGCTTTTCCTGCCCAGGCTGGGTTTGAACTGCAATCCTCAGATCTCAGCCTTTTGAGTAGCTAGGATTACAGGCATGAGCCACTGGCACTTGGCTGTTAATTATTTCTAATAGTATTTTGGTGTAGTCCTTAGGTTTTTCTAAGTATAGAAGAGCATCATCTGCAAACAGGAACAATTGCTCTGGCTAAAATTTAGTACCATATTAAATAAAAGTAATGAATGTTGATACCCATGTCTCATTCCTGATCTTAGAAGAAATACTTTCATATTTTTTCCGTTTGGTATGATGTTCGTTGTGGTCCTGTCACATATATAGTCCTACACTTAATAGTTAGACTTCATCATGAAGAGATGGCAAATTTTACCAAATTTTTTCAAGCATATTTTAAGATCATAAAATGTTTATTCCTCATTGAATAAAAATAAAATCTCATTCATCATTGAACTATGTTGCATCCCTGAAATAAAACCAATTGGATCGTGGAGAATTGCCTTTTGATATGCTATTGAATGTGATAGTATTTTGTTAAGAACTTATATATATTCTTCAGGGATCTTAGTCTGTAGTTTTCATGACAGTAGTGGTGGTCTTACAGAAAGTGTTTGCAAGGATTCTCTCCTTTTCAAGTCTATGGGATAGTTTAGATAATCTGTCATTAGTTCTTTACAGTTTGGTAAAATTTAGCAGTGAAGACATTTAATTTTGTTTAGTTTAGTTTTTCCTCTCATAGTGGTAACTGGGCTTTGATCTCAGGGCTGCAGGCTTGCTAGACAAGACTCCACAGGGTGAGGGTTGTGGCACCAAGTCCCACAGCTCAGTGGCTTACTGTTGTTGTGAGACTTATTACTGGTTCAATCTCATTCATTAGCTGCTATTGGTCTAGTTATGCAAGTGTTTTGTTTGTTTTCTTAATCCTTTAGGCCAGTTTTGGTATCATGTGTCCAGAACTGTGTCTTATTTCTTCTAGGTTTCCTAACTTGTTAGCTATATAAGGTTTTTGTTGTTGCTGCTTTCAGAATAATGTCTAATGATCATTTGTCCTGAAGGCAGGAGTGTGGTCAGTGCTTGGGCCAGATGGGGGGGGGGGACAGGATGAGCCTTGGCAATGCCCATCCAGAGCAGGGCCATAGCCAGAGCTGGGCAAAGTTCCTCTCTGGGCCCCCCTGACTGTGGGCACCTAGGAACAGGCTAATGGCTGGAATGATGGAGCTGCTCACAGGCCTCCGTGTGCTCCTGTGGGCCAGGCAGCAGTGGGAACTACCTGCCAGCAGTAGGTGCCTGAGGGCAGCCCAGCGGGGGGGGGGGGGAGGCGGGCTCCACCTGGGAACCTGCATTCAGCCCCAGCACAGGGTGAAGTCCTCATGTGATGGCAGGCCAGGCCCCGGGAGGCCAGCCTCCCTTACAGGGAAAAGGCCACCATCTTGGTTTCTAGGGTGACCTTCTCTTTTCCTCCATACTACAATACCTGTCCTCTACAATGCAGGGTAACCAGAAGGTTTAGGAGGGTTCACGAAGCTACTCCTGACAATATGGTCCTAAAGATGGGAATACCAGGGTTTCCAACCCCAAGACTAGTCCACATCCTGGCGAGAACACTTCTTGAGATAGTTCCCGCTGAGGGCACTCTGGGCTTCATGAGAGATGTGAGATCCCGCATCAATGCAAGAAAGATTACTTATGCAAGTGGCTGCAAGCCTGGGAGCAGTGAAAAGTTTCAGTAACACAGAATGCCAGCCCCCTTGCTGAGAGACTTTACCACAGCTTTCTGCTACTCCTCCCCTTACAAAGGGGAGTCTCTCCCTTGGCTAGCTGTGGAGCTGGGGTAGCAGGTGCCAGGATATTATTTGGTACTATGCTGCTGTCCTAGGCATCAGAATGTAATAAAATCCTAGGTCTTTTCTTGCTTATTTCCAGTGTTCTCCCCTGGTCACTCACCCTAAAATGCAGCCCAGCAGCTGTTGCTCCTGCTCTTCTTGGTGGGCGGGAGGAGTGACAGGCACCTCTGTTCTGCCATCTTGCCACTCGGTCAGATCATCTTGACAACCTAAGAGCAAGTAAAAAGTCCTTAAGCAGAGCCCCCAAAAATATGAAATATAAAAATTGTAAAGATATCTCTTTAACTTCTGTTCTGTTGGGTGCCAGTGATTCATGCCTGTAATCCTAGCTACTCAGGAGCTGAGATCTGAGGATCATGGTTCAAACCCAGCCCAGGCAGGAAAGTCCATGAAACTATTATCTCCAATTAACCACCAGAAAACTGGAAGTGGTGCTGTGGCTCAAGGTGGAAGAGTTAGCACTAGCCTTGAGCAAAAGAGCTCAGGGACATGGGGCTGGGAAGGTGGCTCAGGGGTAGAGTGTTTGCCTTGCATGCACAAGGCCCTGGGTTCGATTCCTCAGAATCACATAAGCAGAAAAAGCTGGAAGTGACACAGTGGTAGAGGGCTAGTCTTGAGCTGAAGAGCTGAGGGACAGTGCCCAGGCCCTGAGTTCAAGCCTCAGGACTGACAAAAAAAGAAAAACAGCAACAACAAAAAAAGAACCTCTAAAACTTCTGTTCCTTATATGAAAAAGCAAGCAACAGGGAGAAAAATATTCCCAACACATATAACCAACAAATGACTTGGGGCCACAAGACTATATATACAAGAAGTGTGACAAATGGATAGTAAGTGAAAAAATCAAAATAAAAATGGGCAAAATATTTGAACAGAAACTTCTAAAGGAAAATGTACAGTCAATAACATCCAAAAAGGAATTCAACAACATTAAGCTTTATGAAAAAAAAAAGTGACAAGCAACTTCACATGTGCCAGAATGGCTAAATTTTTTTTTAATGAATACCAAATATTAAAAAGATAGATAAGTGGATCTCTGTTATGGTTTGAATCAGAAATGTTTCCTCCAAGTTCCTATGTCAAGGTCCTGGTTGCCAGCTGATGGAGCATTAGGGAAGTGATGGACCATGATGGCTCTCTCGCTTTCCAGTAGATTAGCCCACTGATGGGTTCATAACTTAATGGTGCTGTTTGGAGGAGGTGGGGACTGTGAGGGCGGGCCTCATTAGAGGAAGCTGATAGCATGACTTTGAAGAGTCTTGTTTCTGGCTTCTCCCTTGATCTATTTCCTGGCTACCATAAGGTAAGGAGGTCTGCTCCATCACGCCCTTCCACCTCACACAGCCCAGAACTGGAGCCAGGGACTGAAACTGAAACTGTGAGCCAAATCCATCTTTCTTCCTCACTTTTCTTAGGTATTTTGTCACAGCAATAGAAAGCCTATAAACACTCTTATATATTTGCTTTGGGGCACATAAAATGACGCACCCTTTGGAAAAGCCTGGCATTTAAACACACACCTACCTATCCTGTGATTCAGTGCCTCTACTCCTTGATCTATTTCTACAAGAGAAATGAAAGCACATGGCCACAGAAGGACTCCTATGAGTTAAGCAATCTAGGTTTTAGTTACGATATTGACCCTACAACTGTAAAAGGAATCGATACCACAGACTTTATCAAAATTTAATTTTGTTTCTTTAAAAGGCATTAACAGGGGCTGGGAATGTGGCTTAGTGGTAGAGTGCTTGTCTAGCATGCACGAAGCCCCAGGTTTGATTCCTCAGTACCACATAACTAGAAAAAGCCAGAAGTGGTGCTGTGGCTCAAGTGATAGAGTGCTAGCCTTGAGCAAAAGAAACTCAGGAACAGTGTCCAGGCCCTGAGTTCATGTCTCAGAACTGGCAAAAAAAAAAAAAAAAGGCATTAACAAAAAAGTTAAGCCAGAGCTGGGCTCAGGTGGCTCATGCCTGTAATCCTAGCCACTCAGGAGGCTGAAATCTGAGGATCACAGTTCAAAGCCAGCCTGGGCAGAAAAGTCCCTATGAGACTCTATCTCCAATTAACTATTCAAAAACTGGATGTGGAGCTGTGGCTCAAAGTGGTACAACGCCCAGGCCTTGAGTTCAAAACCTGAGACCAACAACAACAAAAAAAGTTAAGCTACAACACTGGAGAAAACATTTACAAATCATATACCTGGTAGTTTAGATATATATACACATTCTCTCTCTACATATGTACATACATTATATATATATATATATATATACACACACACACACACACACATACATGTAATGATAATGACAACCCAAATTAAAAATCAGCAAAAGGCTTAACTAGGTATTTCATACAAAAACATAATATGCATGGCAGATAAAAACAAGGAAAGGTGCTTGACAGCCCTGGTCACTGGGGAATGCAAATTCAACCTGATTTGTGATACCATGGCCTTCTCATTGGAATGGCTAATCTAAAGACAGCTGGCAGTGTTATGTGTTGGGAGAATGTGGAGAAATCAAAGGCCTCACACACTGTTGCAGGGACTCTGGCACTGCAAGGCCACTTTTGGAAAACAGGTTGGTATTTCTTAAGAAGTCAAACATAATCCTGACATTCTTGCAAACTTAGAACAACATTATGATTGGTAGAGCAATACTACTCATGAAGCCAGAAGCAATTTGCATGCCTATGAGCTGGTGAATGAAAAGTACCCCACATGCACAACCTGACTTATGGTAATGGACACACACACATACATATATATAAACTTCAAAATCACAAAATTATGAACTTAAATAGGCGGATTTATAGCATATAAACTATATGTCAATAGTTTTTTTTTAAAAAAAGACTCATACAAGAATTGTTTGTAACATCTGTATTCATGAGAGCTAAACTTGCCAACAACACAAATGGTCAGAGGAGAATGGGTAAATGATGATATATTCAAAGAATGACATATTAGGGGCTGGGAAGGTGGCTCAGTGGTAGAGTGCTTGCCTTGCATGCCTGAGGCCCTGGGTTCGATTCCTCAGCACCACATAAGCAAACAGAAAAAAGCCGGAAGTGGCGCTGTGGCTCAAGTGGTAGAGTGCTAGCCTTGAGCTGAAGAGCTGAGGGACAGCGTCCAGGCCCAGAGTTCAAGCCCCACGACTGGACCCCCCCCACCAAAAAAAAAATGACATATTAGTTACTAGTAAAAACTACTGAAACATGCCATGCCAGGCATGAATCTCAGAAACAGGCCGAAAAGAGGAAGACACTTCATTCTTCTATGTATTTGCATTCTACTTATAGAAAGCTCCAGAATAGGCAGAGCTTGCTTATGGTGCTAGAAATCAGACCCCAGCTCTCTCTGTGGCAGGGAGACTGACAGCACAGAGACAGGAGAGAACTCTCTGCAGTGTAAACTCAGTACTTCCTTTCTGTGTGTCATTCTTTGTGTGCCTCAATGCAATTATAAATGCCTAAAACGTCCTCGCTTCATGAAATTTACTACAACACAAACCCAAAATCAGCGAGCCTCACATTTAGAAGGTATGTGTGTCTGCTGTCTGTGTGACTACTTGGTCACCTTAACATGTAATAGTGATTTAACACTCAGTTTTAAATGTTTTAATAAGGCTATGTGGCATATACAAAACATTTCACACATATATTATGAAACATAAATTCACCTATTCTTTATATATTCATTTACTCATTCCTACCAAAGTATTTTTGAAGGATCAAAAATGTGTCCAGGTGTTCAAGTTCAAATCCCACCTAAACCAGATACAGTAGTAACAGAGTAAATGATATATAGAGACAGAATCCGAGGATACCTTCCAGAATAAAAGTCTAGTTAAATGTAAGGACAGGAAAAAAGCATCAGATAACCTAACAGTCTCAGACTTCAGAAGCAAAAATAAGTGGTGCCAATCAGGTCCTGGGATACTTGTCTGGGTAAGTCATGTCCGGCCCATCCCTGAAGGGGCTGCTGCCTGCTTAGTAGCACCTGCTATGGCTCAGCCGAGGAAGAGAGGTCAGCACCGCCGCACACAGCTGGCCCTCTCTCTGTTCCTTTTCTTTCCCTTGGAGTGACACCTCAGAGGGGGCCCACGGCAGGCCTGCAGGCGTGGTGAGGAAGAAGGAAATCTGTCTCCCACACTACTAGGCCTGGTAGGGTACTTTCTATATGCACGAGATATTTTGAAGAGCATGTAAAATGTGTGTCTTTTTTGCTTGTGTTGTGCCAGTTCTGGGGCTTGAACTCGGGGCATAGGCATTGTCCCTGACCTTTGGTGCTCAAGGCTAGTAGCTTTACCTCTTGAACCATGGCTCCACCTCTGGCTTTTTTGGTGCTTAATTAGAGGTAAGAGACTCATGAACTTCCCTACCAAGGCTGGCTTTGAACTGTGTCCCTCAGATCCAGCCTCCTGAGTAGCTAGTATTACAGACATGAACCACTAGACTTTGTCTGTGTCATTTGACCTCATATTGACTTTCCAAAAATTCATCACAAGGAAGTAATCAGAGGTAAAGAAAGGAACCACTGTGGGAACAGCCCACTCAGTGAAGTCTAACACCCTTTCCCACAGAGCAATCCAAACAAAGCACGCCTAACAACAGGAAAGTAGTCAAATGATACAATACAGTCAGTACATGGAATGCTTCCTTGTTGCTTTAAGAGAAAAGCTCCCAGGAAAAAATTAAACAGGAGAACACTGCCAACTATAATGTTTGATGATAGCAGCAAGATAAAGCCATGTGTGGCAGAGCTTGTCACAGCAGACAGGGTATGATTCCCTCAGAGTGTGCTGATTGTTGAATCAGGGTCAAGGACAGAAGACTGTTATCAGAGTCATGATATGGGGGGAGGGGAGGCTGAAAATGAGTGGGTCACATGGTGTTGGCCCAGTACCTGCTGAGCAGTAAAACCACCTATGTACACCTATACTGTGAGTGTGTGCACCTGCCAAGCCAGGTGGAAAGGTTGTGACCTTGTGTACCAATTCTCCTCATACCTCAAGGTGGATGTCATTAAAAAAGGATTTTTTTTTTTTTTGGTGGATCAGGGGGCTTGAACTCTGGGCCTAGGCGCTGTCCCTTAGCTCTTCAGCTCAAGGTGAGCACTCTACCACTAGAGCCACAGCACCACTTCCGGTTTTCTGAGTGGTTTATTGGAGATAAGAGTCTCACAGAGTTTCCTGCCTGGGCTGGC